TCGGTAGTACATGACATCGAGTCACTATGGTTTTGGTTCTATGTGCACTGTTGACATATATACAGTGGTGCCTCGCAAGACAAATGTCTCGCAGGACAAAGAACTCGCAAGACTAATGGTTTTGGGAATGGGGTTGATGACTTGCAAGATGAATGTTCCTGTGGCGATGCTTCGTAAGATGAATGTTTTCTATTTTTTCTTGCCTCATGTTTGCTGATTTTTAAATGTTTTTCTATGATGTTTAAAAAGTTAAAGTTTTTTTTATTGAAAATTTTGAAATCATCTGCACAATATGTATGGCTTTAAAGAGCACTTAATGAACCCTTTGTAAACCAAATCTGACTTTGTTCTGACTTTTTTTGCCCATAGGAACGTATTAATTAGATTTCAATGAATTCCTATGGGAAAACATGTTTCGTAAGACGAATTTTTTGCAAGACAACATTAACCGCGGAATGAATGTAATTCGTCTTGCGAGGCACCATGGTAATGTCATTTTAAAAACTGAGTTTTGAACAGCACAAAAAGTTGAACTATTTGACAGTCTGTACTGAAACCTCACTTTGAGCTGTGCTTAAATGATTTAAAACTGAGCCAACAATAAGGCAAGCTGCCTCTTTTTGTTCATAGGAGACTTTTCTGCTAGCCATGTCTTCATTGTGACCCTTATTAATATGGAGCTATAGGGTTTTTAGCCCCTTATCTGCTGCGTGATTAGACTGGGTATCTGAGCCCTTTTTGCACTCATGTGGCCTTCAAAACTAGTGCAGAGCTGCGAGAACTGTCAGTTTCTCTTGGATGTTCTCCTCTGCATTTCTGCTGAACTTTGTACAGTATTTCTAAAATGTTGCTCTTCTGTGATTTAGCTAGTTTGTTGCACTTTTGTTTGATTTTTGGCTGCTTGATGAATTAAGTGACTTAAATATTAGTGTGACTTCTTTACCTATACTGTATGTATGCTTTAGTACTTCATTTTACTTTGATACTTTGTTTCTGCTGCTGAGACAATCACAGGGGTTCATTCCCACTATAACAGATTGCTTTGCACACATTTACGTACAATATAAATTCTACATATTTCAGTACAATATAGTATTCTCTTTCTTCCAGCTTTTCTAACACTGAGTCATGGTTACTGCATCCTGCATCCTGTTTTTCTTTGGGGCCTTTATTTCCAACACAGCTTGCAAATCAGAATTTAAAGCCACATAAAAATATTAATAGTACCTCCAGATGAAGTACTGTTTGTTGGTTTTGTTCTATTTTTATGCTAATGTCTATCCTTAAAAGAGTATAACATCACTGGCATTTCTTTTTCCATATAGAGTTTTCATTTTTTATCTTGCTCATACTAATACAGGTTGACTTTTACTAATCCAACATCTGTAGAAGCAGGGAAAGGACCTACAGTAAGGTTTGCCCCATACAATTTCAGTCTGGCATACAAGACGAGTATCTCTTATCCAAAAATACATGCACAGAATTATTTTTAAAGTTTGCATAAATTACCTGACTGTACAAATTACCATGTGTACAATGTATTACTTTAATAATTTTTTCCATTTACTAGAGTTGATGGGTTTTTTAATAAAAGTGTTTGTATCATTTAAAGCTCTGTTATTGTGTATTTATTTTAAGAGAAAATGTGTTGATTAGTTCAGACAATTGTATGAGTTGTCTTTTCTAAACAAAAACCTCAGTATTCAGATTTAATTATAGTGTTGGCAGATAAGCTACCAATATACTACCTTGTTATCTGATTCTCTGTTATCTGAATCATTTGTTTCTGATGCCAAAATGTTTACAAAGGCCCAAGTAGTCTTTTTTGATGCTTTGGATCATGGCCTTGGAGAAGAGTGACCTGTGAATAATGACACAGGAAAGAGTATAACATCACTGGCATTTCTTTTTCCATATAGAGTTTTCATTTTTTATCTTGCTCATACTAATACAGGTTGACTTTTACTAATCCGACATCTGTAGAAGCAGGGAAAGGACCTACAGTAAGGTTTGCCCCATACAATTTCAGTCTGGCATACAAGACGAGTATCTCTTATCCAAAAATACATGCACAGAATTATTTTTAAAGTTTGCATAAATTACCTGACTGTACAAATTACCATGTGTACAATGTATTACTTTAATAATTTTTTCCATTTACTAGAGTTGATGGGTTTTTTAATAAAAGTGTTTGTATCATTGAAAGCTCTGTTATTGTGTATTTATTTTAAGAGAAAATGTGTTGATTAGTTCAGACAATTGTATGAGTTGTCTTTTCTAAACAAAAACCTCAGTATTCAGATTTAATTATAGTGTTGGCAGATAAGCTACCAATATACTACCTTGTTATCTGATTCTGTTTAGTCTCATCCTAACTGAACATAAAAGCTGTTCTTACTTTTTTTTACTACTTGATGTCCCATAAAGAGATTCTTCATCTTTATTCTAGTTTAATTTATATTTCACATGTCTAAAATGATAGCTTACATAACAAATACAAACATAAATTGTGATATTCCTAACTGAAACAGACTGTGGAAGAGAATCTGAAGATGTGTGACATGTTAAAATGGAAGAAGGAAGAGAATGGCCAGTTGCAAAGAATGTTTTCATCTTTCCTGAGAAGGAGATAAATCATACTCTGGGAACAAATGGTTAAATGATTGTATCATTGAATTTACAAAGCCTCTGTTGTTGCTTTGAAGTAGAAGGCAACGTAATGAGTAACAGTTTGAGATGTGGTAAACATAGTCCTTTTGCAGACAATATGTTTAGGACGTGAGAAATTCCCGTTCATTAATGCTGTTTCGGCTTGGTTGACTTTGTGTTTCGAACAACAGCATTAAATTTGGTCTGTGAATTTGAATTCTACAAACTCAATAGATCCAAACTGTTCCATAGGGGTTGGACATGGAGGCTGGAACTCTGCAGTGTTAACACTTGGTATTGAAAGCTCATTAGAACAAGAATATTACATATTCTGAAAAATCCACTATTAAAACATTTTTTTTTTGTAACTCAGGAGTGTCAGACACAAAGTGGAAAGGTTTTGTTTTATGTTTTAGAAAGCTGGCTGTTGTGGCAATTCAGACCAATAGTTTGCCTTGGCCAGTATAGTTACTCCTGACTGAGGGGCTCTTTGTGGTTTTGAACAGATTCCTTTCCTGTTGCTGCTGTTTGTCGAAACCAGGGATTTAATGAGAGTTCTTGTGTATCATAGACATTGCTCTGCTAATAGTTTTGTTGATTGGATGATGGCAAGGGGCATTTTTAGGAATTAATGTCCAATTTTGCCATTTGCTTTCACCATTGAAAGCAGTGTTTTATTAGTGATATTTTATGAATCTGATTATGGCTCTTGTTTTAAATTGGTTAATTCTGTGCCAGAAAAATCGAGTATATCTCTGGCATCAGACTGATGAGTACTTCATAATGTTGGTGTAACAGGGGAACACTGAATGTTTTTTAAAGTTAGATCTGTCCTTATTATTCCTCACACACCAACTGCTGAAGGTGGTAGCTGACAGATTTACTAGGCTCTTTTTTAAATTTGAAAGGTTTGTTTCTTATAGCTCAAAGCATAAGCTCACTGTAACAGCAACTTAGAATCACAGAACCATAAAGTTGGGAGGGCCCTATAAGGCCATCAAGTCCAATCCCCTGCTCAATGCAGGAATACAGATATCTGCTAGGTGGTTGTCCAAATTCCTTTTGAAGGTACTTGGTAACACTGTCATATTGCTGTAACAATTAGGAAATTGTTCTTGATATTCAACTGAAATCTGGCTTCCTGTAACTGTGAAAGGCGAGAGGACAGCATAGAAGCTCTCGTTGGAGTGCCGTCCGCCCGTAGGGTCTCTAAAGAGGTGCAGACCACCCCTCCGCCAAACCCTTGTGAGAGTATATGTCGGGGAATAGACATCTGGGAACTGGAGGAAAATCTTTGAGGCTTAACAGTGGCCACACAGACCGAAGGGAATTGGCGGGAACGGAAGAAAGGGGGAGGTCCGTAATAGAGGCGGGAATGGGAGAGATAAAAAGGGAGACATCATACCGGGGGGTTGGGAACTTATCTGGGTCGAGGACCCTTGGACAGGGAAATGGGAAAAGATAAAGGTGCCCCGGGAAGAAGCTGACTATTGCCGGAGAAAGGGACTACTCCAGTGACCGTCCTACTGGGGGGAGTCTGAGGCACGAGAGTGGAGAAGGAGGCTAAAGGAGGAAAAGAAGGTAGTGGCCTGGGAAGCCGATAAACAATGGGCATGGTGTGCGGAGGAGGCGCGGAGAATGGCGTACCTCCAGGACCCCGGGGTTTCCTCGAACGAGAAGGGAAATTGTTTTGGAGAGAGGATGGAGAGGAGGAGACCCTACCATTATTGAGAAGCGATGGAGAGGAACACTTTAAACCAAGTTATGACCCCTTCCTACCTGGACCATGGGAGGTTAAATCCTTGAACGCTTTTGAACCTAATGTCTGGTTGCCCTTATGATGCCCATTGGCACCGCAAGAGAAGTTAGAGAACTGTTGAAAGAAGTTTTACCCTTGAATGAAACAATAAACCCTAGTTTGGATTTCTATTTTATTTGAGGAAGGAGCGGAGGCTAGATTCGAACCCTCACAGTAACTTGAGCCTACTGTTGTATGTTCTTCACCCCAAGAGGATTGAGAACAGATCCTGACCCTCCTCTGTATGACAGCTTTTCAAGTATCTGAAAAGTGCTATCAGTTCTCACCTTGGTCTTGTTTTCTCAAGACTGTACATGCCCAGTTCTTTCAAGTTTTTTTTCTCAGAGTCTTTTGTTATTTCTTCTGCATGTGTATATATGAATTACTTGCAAATAAATATAGAGGATGTTTCTGTACTACCTACTTACCTGGTTGTAATCTCAAATTATGTCTCTTGTTGCTGAGTAATATTAAGTATGTTCTTCTTACTACTTTGAACACAGTTTTTACATTGCATATGAACTAATATAGTTATCTTATTTCTTCCAGGAAGTATATATAAGGGACAATGCAGCCAAGGAAGTACAACCTCACTTGTTGCCAGGTAATGTTAAACAAAGAATGCTGTAAAATCATTTCATATTTACTGTATTTTTCGCACCATAAGACACACTTTTTTCCCACAAAACAGGGAGTGGAAAGTCTGTGCGTCTTATGGAGCGAAGAAAACAGATTATATTTTCCTGTTTTCTTCTCCTAAAAAATTGGTGCGTCTTATGGAAAGGTGCGTCTTATGGAACGAAAAATACGGGTATTTTGGAGTTGCTGTGTTTTAGAGTTCAGGTGACCTGAGCTTTAAAATAAAGGATACGTGTCATAGTTTGTCCAACTGCATTTTATTCTCTTTAGGATGTTACTTCAGATTTTGTAGGGAAGCCCTCTCAGATTTTAGAGGCTTGCAATGTAAGAAACAAGTGTTTTCTTTTGAAAACTCCATCCTCTATGAAGGGCAGACTCTGAGCTTGATATGGATGACATATATTGGAGTGGGACCTTAGGATTGCTGGAATGCTCAGCACATGACAAAAATGCACTCATATCCTCTAAAGAGCCAAAACTGAAACATTTGAATATGGGAGGTCCTAGGTGCTTACATTTGGGTCCCTGCATGCAAAATTGTGTGTGTACATTGGTGTAGGTGGATGTTAAAGATTCGTGGGCAGGACATTACTGTTTGCCTAGAACAACCTAGATGTTGGGAAATGCATGCCACTGTAGAGTATTGCCCACATGTTTGCAGTGATTCTTTTAAAAATTGATTGTGGAATCTGGTCACCACTATTATTGTAAATGAAATTCAAGAAGGGTGGATGGGGGACAAGGCATTCCTTTATCTCTGTCATACTAAAGGAAGGCTCCCATCTAGTACAACTACTGTAGTCTCCCTCACTCATTGTATTCAAGGTACAGGAATTTTTAACCTGTTTAAATATGGTCACAATTGTGAGAAGTTTTCAACCTGATAGGAAGTTATGTTGGGTTCCTGGTATGAAAAATATGATGGTAGGATGGGGAAACCTTTGTGCATGTAGAGAATACTAGGTTTTAGACTGTTGTTAATAGTAGGTGATAGTTGGGCTCTGCATTGCTTCTTCTATAAGGTAAATAGTTTAATACTGTTCAATCCCACTTATTCTAGATTTATGTTACAGTTCTGATTGAGATGAATAACACAGAGCCTCCTTATAATGCTTTGTTTCAAGCCAACAATGATAGTTGTGCTATAGCTTTAATCTTTAAAAGTATGTTAGGAATTCTAGGATATAGAACAATAATACTTGCAGTGGGTGGCAAATATGAATACCTTGTATATTTAGTCCTTCATATCATTCCATCTGTAACTGTAATCCAAGAAGCTTTGAATTTAAGAACCAGAATACTACACTGTACTAAGCAGTGCATTCATTTTCATCAGGTGAATTGGTGCTTTGTGAAGCAAACATGGTTTTGAAACATATACAAGATGATGGATCAAATCGTGGCACATTTGGGAAACTTATTTGCACAAACTTCAAGATTTCATTCCTTGGTGAAGAATCTTCTTTGGATGATGTAAGAAATAAAAGCTATCTTTTGTTAAAATTGAGAGTAAATCTCTTTATTATATGTTGAAGAGGCAGCCCAATGTTCACTCATCTACTCATTGTAGATGAGCACTGTACATACCTTCAGACAATACATTTTGTAGAGTGGAACCAGGACTTCAGTTGACAACTGCTATTCTCCTACTATGTGAGATAAAACTAATAAAGATGTGTAAAAACAACATATTTGAATTCACATCACTGTGGCTTCAAGTAGATAAAGTTTGATTTGCCTCAAATAACATCTGAGCTCTATTCCCATGAAAGCCATGCTTCTAGAACATTCTGTCAGGTATATGAAAAGGCCCTATATCTGATGGAAGTCACTGTAATTTCCAAATAAGATGGTGCCCAGAGCAGGACTTTCTACACAGTTAGCAGGTAGTGGCCCAAAATGCAGAGGTCTCTAAAGTTAGAGGTAGCGCTTTGAATTGGTCCTGGAATTAAATTTGTGGCCAGTGCATATACTTCATATTACGGTAAGTACCCTGGGAGAATGGTTGTCCAGCTCTGTTAATAGGCAGGCTACTGTATTTTCTGCTCGTTGAACTTTCTCAACAGTTCTTAGATGTAGCTCGCAGTACAGTAGTTCAAATCTTAGGTGTAGGATTGCAGCAGCAAGGGTTAACAATATTTACTGGACATATATTTTATAATACAAATAGTAAATCAGAAAGCTGATTTTATTAGGTAGTTACATGTGTACAAGAAGAATCATAGACGCTACTGTCAGTAATTAAAAAGTTGCTGTTAATTGACAAAGCTCTGGGTTTGCAATCAGACAAATGTCCACACATGCAACTATCACCTCATCAATTAGCCATGGCAGTTTCCACATGAGATTCTGGGTATCAAGTGTTCTGTTACAGGAATTTGAAGACATTTTTCCTCTTTCAGGGACTACAATTTAAGAATAACATCATTGGGGAAAATGACATCACTCTTCAGTGTGTAGACCAGCTTCATGGAGGTAGGGTGGTAAACCTTTTAAGATTAATTTAAAATAATTTAAATATTTAGGTTCTATAAAGTTAACTAATGAAGTGCTATATCAGTATTTTCTATCTTCAAGTGAAATCCCTCTTAGTTTTCAGTATTGTTCACAATGGTCACCTCCTGGAAAGGCCCACTTAGTTAGTTTTAAGAGACTATGCATTACCACAGTTTCATTCCAATTTTCACGTATGTCGTTAATGTGGCATTGTAACTCTTCTACTTGGGTCCATAGCACTTATGCCAAGGAGTCTGATACGAATCTAGCCTGTGCAGTATGATAAAATATCTATAGATTTGTAAGCTTTGGGTGTGATTGCTATGCAGATTATCCCCAGGTAGGCTTTTCTATATGAATTACAACAGATTTTCCAGGTGCTGGACTGGTAGACAATAAACTGGTTAAATTATAGCAGAGAGTCTCCTTGGGTAGTCAGTTCCTGAGCTCAGCTTATTAAGTAGCAGCTTGTTCTGGAAGGGGACAGCACTCCCATAGTGCCAGTGGTCCCCAACCTTTTTGACATTGCTGACCAATTGGGAGAGGGATGGGGTAGGTGTGGGGCACCCCTATGCTCGCACGCATGTGCAAAGGGGTGGCGTTCACTCATGCGGGCACGAAAGGACAGGGGGTGCTTGCAGAACATGTACGCACACGTGCGCGCATGCGTGAAGGGGCTGTGTGGGTGGGCGGGCAGGGGGAGTGTGTGCAGGGGTGTGTGAAAGATCTGTCTCCGCAGCCCGGTCCAGCCAAGTCTAACCCTAACCCCTGCCGTAGTGGAACAGATATGACTGTTTGGGACTTTTCCATGATGTAAGCTCACTGAAGACCCAGGTAACCTCAGTGGTGAAGAATGAGTTCACCAGCTACATTTCTTCTGGACTGGAATAAACGTAGAGAAGAAGACAAGTCCTTCCCATTGAACTACTGCAATATACCTTATGTGGGCTTCCCTTGAGGACTTACCCAAAACTGAAACTGGTGCCAAATTTTTCTGCCTGTGTATTCGTAGGGAAAGTAAAAGAGAGAATACACAACACACATTTTGAAATCCTAGCATAGGTTGCCAGTGGGTTGCTACACCGAATTCAAGTTGTTAGTGCTAGCGTACAAAGCCCTGAATGGCACAAAATCCCCATTCTTGAAGGGCCCCTGCTGCAGTATTGACCATCTCATGACTTAAGATTGACTATGAAGTAGTGCACTGGAACAAACATGCACATGGTGGAGCTTTCTCCATGGTGATTCACTGATATTACAGGGACACAATTAATATGCAACCATACAGACTTAATCCAAGGACTGATGGTTTAGATGCTTTTGGGGCCATCCACAGCTGACAGTTTCATGCTGCTATGTCTGACTTCCCTTGACTATTTGTGTTAATCTTTTTTTTCTAACAGTGTACACAAATAGAAAACAGCTGGGGAAAATGCAGATATTTTAGTAGAAATCATACAAAATACTTTTCTTTTCAGCAGAGGTGATCTTAAAGAAGGATGAAAACTGTCCCCAAGAATGCAATAGGGATTGATTCAGTAGTGCAAGAGAATGGTTCCTACTACCAGCCCTATTCACATAATTGACAGTCCAACCAAGAACCTATGTATCTTTCCACAGAGATCTGTAACTATTTTCAACTTTTCATTTGCTGTGAGATATACTTGACAACTTGAACTTTGTAATAGCACCTAGTTTCCCATGGCTATGCAACTCAGTTTTTTATTACCCGTATCAAGGTAACCTGTTGTTATTTAGAGTATAGGTCGTTCATTCGTTTCAGAGGCTTTTCTGATAATACATAGATTACTTGGACGACTGGGTTAAGAATGTCAGCTTGCTTTTAAAAGAAATTTTGAAAATTAACTACAGTTTTTCTTATAGTTTATGATGAGAGAAAGAAACCTATATGTGGTCAACTAAGAAAATACCCAGAGACAATAATAATCTACTGCAAAGATCTTAGAGTGTTTCACTTCTGTTTGAGATATACCAAGGAGGAAGAAGTTAAAAGGGTAATTGCAGCCTTATTTAATTCTCTCTCTTCTCAAGCAAAAACATTTCCATGTGGGTGTGGTAGCTTTCATGAGTAGTCTGAATAATGTTTTCCCCTTCCAATAGGAAGAAGAAAAGGGCAGAGAATGCTTGCATGGGGCAATTGACAGGAATTGGTAGAATAGTTAAGGCAGCTGCCTCAAAGCCACTTTTAATTGTTTGGGATTACTACTTCCATCAGTCATGGCTGTTGATAGTGCAGATTTGTTCTGGACTGTGTTCCTTTTAGAAAAAGTGATGTTGGTGAACTTGAAAAAATGGGGAAAATAATTTGCGCATGATTTTTTTGTTACTTTGGAGTTTCCATAGTCCCAGCAGGGAAGTGTTGCTTATGCTAGTTCCCACAGTCAGCAGCAAGTACAGTTGAAAATAATCAGAGATGCTCATCAGACTTGTCATCTTTTCACAGGTATGGTGAGCCATAGTTTTCAGTATAGCTTTATATTCTTCCAAAATAAATTGTGCTCACAAACACTAATGGAGGCCTTTCTGAGTGGACACATAGATAGCACATTTCTTTTACTTTTTCTTAATAAATGAGCATTGGTTTTGCCACCTGTCTGTCCTGATAGGGACAGCGTATTTTTGTGAAGGGGCAATCCCAGTCCTGTTGTCTGTACTGACCGCTGATTGAAAAATTTCATTATTTCTTAGCCATTGGTACAGTCTTGGTCAGTATTGCTGCATATATTTCTGTATGTAGTGCATCATTCAGAGGTTCTGTCCATACCGATGGAGGAATATAAAACATTGCAATGGAAGTAATATTTAAAGTATATTCATTTTAAGAAATGAAAACTAAGTTTTTTAGCAGAATGTGAGGCAGACTTGTGAGATCTTAAATGTTCAACTTTTCTATTTGATATGGCTTCTGGTTTATCAATGTATTGATTTTGTTGATCTTCCTTAGATCGTCAGTGGCATAGTTCATCAAACACAGACTCCTAAGCTGTTTAAACGCTTGTTTTTGTTCTCTTATGCAGCAGCTGCACCAGATGATAAAGGTAAGCATAATTTGTTTCTTTATTGAGTAGCTGTTGTCTATTTCACAGGGTGTAAAGCAGCTTCGAACAAAAAAGCTCTGAGATGATATAGCACATCAAAATGCCACAGGGTCAGTGCTCGTCTTCAGCATGCATATCACCCTGCCGAGGAGAATTTTACTATACAGTTATGTAGCAAAATGCCTACCTACATAGGATTGAGCAGATGAGCTTCAGTAGACATCTGTATAAGTCTCCAACACTGTGCTGGAAGAAAGATTTTGGTTAAAAGATGAATTAGTAATGTACAGTGGTGCCTCGCTTAATGGGCGCCCCGTTTAACGACGAATTCGCATAGCGATGAAGATTTTGCAATCGCTTTTGCGATCGCATTGCGATGTTCCCTATGGGGAAAACTCGCAAAGCGAGTTTTCCCCATACGCCTCATTTTCGCCCAGCTGATCGGCGGGGCTTCCCCCCGGTC